TTCGTCACGCACGCCCTGCTGGGCTCCTACGCCGTGCAGGCCGAGCTGGGAGACTACGATGCTGAGGAGCACGTCGGCAACTACGTCAGCGAGCTGCACTTCGCACCCAACCAGACCAGAGAGCTGGAGGAGCGCATCATGGAGCTGCACAAGACCTACAGGTTAGGCTCCCCTCCAGCTCGGCCATTCCTCCCTTCTTGTGGGCAGGGATCCAAACGGCTGTGCCCCGCCAGGTGTTGCGAGAGAGACCTGGTGCTGGCCTGGGTTCCCTGCTAATAGCATCCCAGTGCTCATCTCCCGAGCAATTCCCCCTGACCAGACCCCTGAACCTCCCCACGCCCGCAGGGTGCAGCTGCCAGCAGTGGGGTGGTTCTAATCAGCCTCTCTTTGCTTCCCGTCTCCTTCCCAGGGGCATGACGCCGGGCGAAGCGGAGATCCACTTCCTGGAGAATGCCAAGAAGCTCTCCATGTATGGAGTCGACCTGCACCACGCCAAGGTACTGAGCCTCCGGAATCGGAGCACAGGAGCCCTCTCTGTGCTTCTCCTCAGAGCTCCTCACGCCTCTGTCTCGCTCCTTTTCTCCCCCGTCTCACACACACTCTCTGGGTGCATCTATGCTGCAGTCAGGAGATGCGATTGCTGCCCATGCAGACAGACCCAACCTAGCGCTGGTCTAGTTAGTCCTGCCCGCCCAGGAATCTCCATACACACCTGAGCAGCTACCCCGTGCTGCCAGGACTTCACTGCTGTTGTTACTGGAGCTAGCTTTGATCTAGCTAGATCAGCGCTAGCGTGGGGTATGCCTAGATGTGTGGCAGTCCCACACCCGATTGCAATGGGAACATCCCTCTGTCCCTCATTTCCTCTCTCCGTCTCTCCCCCACTGTCCCTTGCGGATGTCTCTGGACAACATGATGTCCCTGTGCCCCCAGTACCAAGGATCCCAGTGGCTTTCCATTCTCAGGAGGTGATCGGCACTGGGAAGTTTGCCGTTCGTCTCATCTAAGCCGGGACATCCAAGTCCCTGGTGCACTCGCGTGGGGCCTCTCTGCCCTGTCATCCGGGACTGGAGCGCATCTAGGAGACGCTGTCAGTCCCGAAATGTGACCCATCCGCCAGGGCCTGCGCTCATTCCCTGCCCGCCCTGATCCTCTGAGCCAGCAGCACAGCTCTGTGCAGAGCAAGCTGGCCAGTTTGGGGATGCCCTTAGCAGTTTATTGCAGGCCAGTCCCATGTCAAGCTGCTAGGCCTGTCCAAGAGCGAGGCAGGGAAGCGTCTGCCTTGCTCACAAGAACACACCAGACAAGGGGCAGCATGGTCGTTTTCACCCAGGGTAACGTGTTTGTATCCAGCCCAGGCTGGTAATGGCTGATAGTGGTTACCAGCCTATAAATGGAGTGGGTGGGTCTCAGCCCAGTTCACAGTTGACAAATGCCCACGTCACAACTGGGGCTAATTACACCCCCTCGTTAGGTACCTCAGCAGAGGTGCCAAGGGCTGATAAGGCCTCGCTGACTGAACTAGCTCCTCTTGGACCCCTGCAGAGCAGGTGGGAGGTCCAGGGCAGAGCAGCGTGGGAAGCTCACCCTGTGCTGTCTGACTAGACAGACAGCCGCTGGCCAGCGTTACCACTGTCCCTCTGTGGGCACGGCCTTGCCTCCGTGCGCACTCAGCCGCAAGTCCTGCTGACCACAATCTCTGCTCCTGCCGGCAAAATGAAACCAGCTCCCCGGGCAACGTTCGCTCCCGCCACCAAGTACGGTTCTACCGGCGCAAGGCGTGTGTGGACACCGAAGTGCCTGAGCCGGTATAAACAGTCCTCCAGCAACAAGCCTACAATGTACCTGGTGCTGCAGCAGTGACCGCTCTGCTTGCCGGGAGGCTCACAGTGCAGGGAAGCCTGACCCCCATTTAAAATCCCCAGCGTGTTTTAGAAAGGCCTCTTTCCCTGCCATCTCTGCAAGCTCACCTGGACAAGCCTGGCTCCGGCTCCAGTTGCTGTATGGTCCAGGAGCCAGGTCCAAAGGTTTCCTCGGCCTGTGGGGGGAGGAATGCAGAGCACAGCTGTAGCTTTCCCACAGGATTACAGATACGTACTCTGCCCTTGCAAAGGCCATGGAGAACCTAAGGCTCAGCAGGGTCAAGGGCCGATGCCAGGCAAAGGGGAAGGAGCTGTGGCAGGCATACCAGAAGACGAAGGAGTGCAACCTCCAGCCTAGAGCTGCCCCCAAGACCTGCGCCTATTGTGGCCGCTTGATGCCATCTGAGCCAGGATCCCACCTCCACCCTGAGTGTGACAGTGGACACCTCGCATAGATAAGGCCTTGGGCTCCTTAGTGATTTAGGTGCTTCTGAAAACCTCACCTGGTCAGTATGTTGTAGATAGGGCCCCATTGTGCTGGCTGAGCTGCTAGGGGCGTGGTCCTGTCTCTCCACCCCAGAGGCTGCCCTGGAGCTCAAAGCCACGAGAAGATGGAATTGCCCTTTTAAGGGTGGGAAACCCCCACAAAAGAGCACCGGTGTCTCGCAGCTGTGAACGGCAGCCACAGTGTTTCTCCAAACCTCCTGCCCCATCCTGTGTGGGAATGTCCCCCTCCCACCAGCCTCTCCCCATTGGCATCTCCAGCAGGGGACCTGGGTACCACGGGATGTGTGGGAGCAGCCCAGTGGCACTGCCTGCTCTGGAGGGAATGCAGTTGCAGCATTTTACAGTTGTCTGCAGATACAAATTACCAGCCAGGCTAGGGCCCCTGGTGTGGTGCTGGCTCTGAACACCCTGCTAGACCCCACTGCCAGGCGGTAGCTGGAGGGCTATTTGCTGGCCAAACACTAACCCTCCTACCTTGTCCTTAACCCTCCCCTCTGGCTTCCATCAGGACTCAGAAGGTATCGACATCATGCTGGGCGTCTGTGCCAACGGCCTGCTGATCTACAGAGACAGGCTGAGGATAAACCGCTTTGCCTGGCCCAAGATCCTCAAGATTTCCTACAAGAGGAGCAACTTCTACATCAAAATCCGCCCCGGCGAGGTGGGTGTCTCTTACGAGAGCCCGTCCCTTGGGAGTGGGGGGGGCATGGGGGAGAGTCCATTCTTACCTCCCGGGCAGATGTCAGGAAGTCTGTTCTCTCCCAAGGGTGCTTGTGTGCTGGAAAGGTCCATTGTTGTTGCCTTATACCAGGACCGGGAGGCCCCCAAATTAATTTCAGCGGGGAACAAACCAAACCCACTGTCTCATCTGTTATTTCCAGTGAGGCGGAAAGGGTCTGAAAAAGGGAGCAAAAGTGGGATTATTCCCCCCCCTCCAAAGGAAATGGAACATTTTGAAATTTCTTTTCCTTACGCGAGAGAATTCTCCTCCCACCCAAAAGCCGGTTAGTGCCAACGAAAACGTGATCACCCATCAAGGCCATCCTGCTGCCGTGTGAGCCCTGACCCTGCCCTGCCGCCAGACGAGTCCTGACAGAATAGCCATTGTAGCCTGGGCCCCAGAGCATGCTGGGAAGGGTTTATAGAGACACCTGCTCTGTCATTCTCCTGTTGGGACCTTGGCTAGGAGGCTGTTGCCATCCCAAGCCATCCCACAGGGCCGCGGGCTGAGGCGGCTCCCAAGCAAGATCCCGGCTATAACATGAGTCTGTCTCCTGTACTTCCAGTACGAGCAGTTCGAGAGCACCATTGGCTTCAAGCTGCCCAACCACCGCTCTGCCAAGAGGCTCTGGAAGGTCTGCATTGAGCATCACACCTTCTTCAGGTGAGGAGGAAGGTCCCTGTAAAGAACCGCCAGGGACAGGGCAGGGCTCGCAGAGAGGAGGCTGGGTGTGCTGCTTGTCCCTGCCCTCCTTGTGCTTTTCACTGGGGGAGACGTTCTTCATTAATGCCCCCGGGGGATCCACATGGAGGGAGGGCAGGGGTCTGTCTCCTTAGTGCTCCCCCTCAGCTGCCTTTGCCCTATTGATACCTCTCTCCTCTCTGCCCCATGTGGGGAGGGGTTGTCTCTGGGCCTCCCAACACTCTCTCCCTGGCCTGCTTCCATGGCCTTCCCTACCTGATATCCCTGGGACTACACTGCACTCTGGCTGGGCTTTGCCCAACCAAACCGTGGCATATTCCAGCTGAACCCAATCAGGGAGAGCCCTGTGCCCTGCAGAGCAGGGTCCCAATTGCCCTGCTTCATACAAGGGGAATCCAAGCAGACTGTCATGAGGACCACACTGTGACCGTAACGCTGCCATCACTAAGGGTTTTGGAGAGAGAAAAGCCGCCTGGAGATGAGTATCTCCATTCCAACTCTGTGGGGACCTGACCTTCTGCATTGCCTGATGTGTGGTGGTCTTGTTTAGCTACCTATATTCTATCACAACAGCAACTCTATGCAGTTGGGAAGCATCAGCATCTCTAGTTCATAGACGGGGAAACCAGGGCACACACTGAGGTTAAGTGACTTGACCAAGGCCACACACTCAGTCTGTAACAGCGGCAGGAATAGAACCCTGATGTCCTGAATTGCAGTCTGGTGCCCCGCCCACAAGGCCATCTTTCCCTTGCGTTAATGGAGAGTTTTCCCGGATCTAATATATAAAAGAATCTGCCGATGGGCTCAGTTTCTCCGTGGCAGTAAGTTGCATCCTGTGCTGGTTGGGACGGCTGCCTCCAGGCCAGGTATTTGCTGTTTGCTCTGCTCTGCCATGGCAATGCTTTCGCTCACTCTGGAGTCTTCTGATTTTGTACATGCCAGCCTGTGCCTGGCTGGTGCTCCGCATGGTTTCCAGAGCTCGAATTCTAAACAGAGACAACGCATCCTACAGACTGTTCTTTGCAACCATCGCGCGTAAGGTCCAGGCCTCATTGCAGGAGTTTTGCCATTGGCTTCAGCGGGGCCAGGATTCCTCACCCTCTGCCCCCCACAAGCCTTCTAGCTCCAGACTAGTAACTGCAGGATCCCTGCAGGTGGCTGCACTGAAGACTGAGGTCTTGATTTTCAACAGGACACCAATTTTGAAGGCCCAACTTGAGACCCTTGGGGCCTGATTTTCAGAGCAGCTGCAGATCAAGCTGGGGTCAATGACTCTCGGCACCTCTAATAACCAGGCTCCAGGGACCAGATTTACAGCTCTTCACTGCATTTGCGCCTGAGGTTGTGAGTACAAAAATTGTGGGCCCCAATCAATGTCACTTGGGCATGCCCGTGCCTGATTGTGCCTGCAAATCAGGTGTTGGCAGAGAAAGCGCACCCACAGGAACCCCAAGGCCTGGTCAAACCTGGCCCCAGGGGTCTCAAGTTGGGCTCCCAGAATTCATGGCCACCCTTGGCCCCTGATACTTGCACAGACAGTGCAGGGAGGAGTTCGCTTGCAGGATGGCACGTGGATTGGGGAAGAGAGACCCCGTCTTGAGATCCCAGTGCTGGATTTCTCAGGTCTCATGCTGCACAGATCTCTGCTTTTATCTCCATCTGACACGCTTTGAGAGCTGACAAGCCAGCGTTTAATACATCAAGACACACGGCGCCATCCTTCGCCCTGCTACATTCCCCGTGCCAGCCCTCAAGAGGCCAGCACAGCAGCTTTAGAGCTTTGCTTATTTAGATGGACCAAAAAAAAAAAAATGCCCACACACAGCACATGGTCTCCGCACTGCTCTGGATTGCTTCTAGTAGAAACAGTTCTGTTCACTGGCAGTTCTGGGAGGAAAAAGATTAGTTTGGGGTCAAACTGAAAATGAATTTTTCCAAAATTTTTGGCTAATTGGAAAAAAAAAATCAGTTTGAGGCGAAGGAACCATTCTGCTCCCCCTGCAGTGAAATGTTTGGTTCAGTTTTGAGCATTTTTTAACATTTTTTAAAAAAATTCCTAAATAATATGAAAGGAAATTTCTAAACAAAAAGTTGCTTGCAAGAAAAATATGGAAATGTTTTGATTTTTTTTTCCAGAATTTTTCTTTGTTTTTGTTTCGACGTGAAGGACCTAATGAAAGCGACACCAATTCGCAAAATGTTTGTGTCACTGAAAAGATGTCCCCCGACTGTAGTCCCTGTATCTCCCCTACCCACTGCTGCCCCCACCCATACACAGAGTAGTACCCCTCATTTATACGCACCTGCCTCCCGCGTTGTCATCTGATTTAGGCACATGCCTTTTTGGCTCTCACTCCCCGCGCCATCCAATCCCTCACCTTCTACATCTGGAGGATTCTCTGCACCTTGAAGTCTTTAAACCACAAGTTGAGGACTTCAGTAGCTCAGACATAGGTCAGGGGTTTGTTACAGGAGTGGGTGGGTGAGATTCTGTGGCCTGCGTTGTGCAGGAGGTCAGACTAGAAGATCATAATGGTCCCTTCTGACCTTTAAAGTCTATGAGTCTGTGATCCTGAAGTCACTGAGATGTGAGGCGAGGCAATTTGCACCTTCACCATTCAGGAGACATAGAGTGGACGGGAACAGCCAGTGAGATGGAGGCAAAGAGACCAGCGAGGAGGGAGAGGACTGGAGAGTTCTGCTAACAGGATAGCGCTGTTCCTGGAAGCAGTTGTTAAGAGCCCAGGTGTTGGGGGAAAAGTGGCTCTTTATTTGAGCTCCACCCACAACCTTAGTTTCCATCCATGCCTCCAGGGTAGCTGGATGTTTCTGCTGAAATGATCTGCAGTGGAACAATGAAATGACCATCATTAGTATTCAGAGTGAACAACCTCCCCGCAATGACAATGTTTGGTGATGCATCTTGGCCTTTTCCTGGTTGTGCCCCCCACTGACCACCAGTCTCTATGTTGATCGGTCCCTGCCCCGTGTGTGAATGGAGCTGGCCTGCCAGTGACACTCTGCTTTCCTCCCCCCTCCACCTGCAGGCTGGTGTCCCCAGAGCCGCCCCCAAAGGGCTTCCTGGTGATGGGCTCTAAGTTCCGCTACAGCGGGCGGACGCAGGCCCAGACCCGCCAGGCCAGTGCCCTGATCGACCGACCTGCGCCCTTCTTCGAGCGCTCCTCCAGCAAACGGTACACCATGTCTCGCAGCCTCGATGGAGGTACGCCCCAAATTGGGGAGGGGGAGGGAGATTGGTTCACTGGTGGGAGCCGGGAGGACAGGATTAGACACTAAGGAGCCGTGTGGGCGAGGGGCGGCTGGGCTCTGGCACGGCAAGCTCACAGCTTCTTACGGCTGCTGTCCTCGACTCTTGGGCGTCAGGGGGTTAACTCTCAGGAAGCTGGGAGATTGGTACTGGCCAGGCACAGCATGCAAATGTAACCCCCACCGATCTGCCAGTTCTCCCAGTCCTGACCCACGGCCCCTCCCCAGCTCTGCCAGTTCTCCCAGTCCTGCCCCCAGCTCTGCCAGTTCTCCCAGTCCTGACACACACACACACACCCTCCCCCAGCTCTGCCAGTTC